ATGGAATGTTTTTATAGAAGTAAACCATTTGATGAAAATGGAAAACCTAGCAGAGGATACAGGCAAAGAATGTTCAGAGAATGGAGGAATAGAGGAGGGTTTGAGTCGACTGAGCAACGCATAAGTGACCAGGCCAGAGCCATCAGAAAGAACGGTTGGCTTTCAGAACTTGTGTTTGAAGTGATAAAAAGAAGTGTTATAGAGGAAGAGGAAAGAGAAGCTAATAACGATGTGGAGGATGGTAGAGAGCAGGTCGATAACGAAAACTTAATGGATGTCGATGTTGAGGAAAATATGGTAAATGATGTAAATGTGGAGGAAAACGATCATCAAAATGGAGGTTTTGTTACCAAAGATAGAATGTTAGAGAATATCTTGTCTGAAAGTCAAAGGGAAATCGTTGAGAACCTAAGAGAAATTCATGTTGAAAAGAAAACAGCAGAAGGAATATCATTTAAAAAGGTTGATAAGAACAAACTGAAGAGAGAAATGAATAGAGTAAATCAAGTGATTCGTCATATTGAAACCAAAAACATCACAGAAACTAATGAATTAATAAAGGCAGCAACTGTATGGGTTGGAGAACAGCTAGGGTTAAAGAAGACGGAATTTAGAGCTAAGAAAGCTCCTCGGTGGAAACGCCGCATTGAAGATGATATTAAAAGAATAAGGAAAGATGTAAACATATTAGCGAGAGAGTTAAGAGGCGAGCTCAAGCACAAGAAAAGTGAAAAATTGCAGAGACTGGAAGAGAAATATCGGGGGAATAAGAAAGGCATTAAAACTGTCGTTGAAGAATTGAAACAAAGGATGATTGCCAGAAGTGCAAAAATTAAAGGATACGATCAAAGGATTAACCAGTTCAGACAAAATCGAATATTTAGTGTTGACCAGAAAAAAAATCTACAAGGAACTGAATGGAGGTGAAATTAGAACAAACGAGGTACCAGATGCTGAGGAGAGTAGAAGATTTTGGGGTGATATTTGGTCAAATGAGAATGGAACATAACAAAGGTGCAGAGTGGCTGTCTGAGTTAAAGGATGAAGTTGAAGGGAAACACTCACAGGAAGCGGTCAATATAAGTATCGAAAGTGTCAGAGAACAAGCTAAGAAAATTCCAAACTGGAAGTGTCCTGGCAAAGATGGTGTCCAGGGATATTGGATCAAAAACCTGACCAACATGCATGACAGAATTGCTGATCAACTAAATAACATTTTGATGGGAACGGATACCCTTCCCAAGTGGTTAACACATGGAAGGACAGTGTTGTGCCAAAAGGATCCCAGGAAAGGGAATGCGGTTGAGAACTATAGACTGATAACGTGCCTTCCACTGATGTGGAAACTGATGACAGGAATCATAGCTGATCAAATGTACGATTACCTAGAAAGAGAATATCTACTACCTGATGAACAAAAAGGTTGCAGGCGAAGGAGCCGGGGTACAAAAGATCAGTTATTGATTGACAAAACAACCCTAAAGGATTGCAAGAAAAGGCACACTAATCTGGCTATGGCGTGGATAGACTATAAGAAAGCTTATGACTTTGTTCCCCATAGTTGGATTAGTGAGTGTATGGAAATGTTTGGAATAGCTGGTAACGTGACAGAGTTTTTGCAAAGAAGCATGTTGCAGAGGAAGTTGTCCTTGACTTCCAATGGAGAGGAACTTGGCGATGTGGGTGTTAAAAGAGTGATATTCCAGCGAGATACGTTGTCACCATTGTTATTTGTCTTAAGCATGATTCCATTATCATCATTACTCAGAAAGGTAAATGTATGCTATGAGTGGGGGAAAAAGGAATATAAACTTAATCACTTACTCTTTATGGATGAGTTGAAACTATATTCCAAGAGTGAAGAACAGATAGATTCCCAAATACAGACTACTCACATTTTTAGTACTGATATAGGTATGGAATTTGGAATCAAGAAATGTGGAGTTCTAGTCCAAAAAAGAGGGAAGATTGTAAGATGTGAGGGCATAGAATTACCGAATGATGAGATAATAAAGAAGTGGGACAGGAAGGATATACTTATCTGGGTATTGTGGAATTAGATAAGGTGAAGGAGAAGGAAATGAAAGAGAAAACAATAAAAGAGTATAAGCGACGGTTGAGGTTAATTCTAAAGTCCAAACTGAATGGGAGAAACAAGATAACTGCAATTAATACCTGGGCAGTAGCAATATTCAGATATGGAGCAGGAATAATAAGCTGGAGAGAGAGTGAACTGAAAAGTATCGATAGAAAGACAAGAAAAAACCTGACCATGTATGGTGCCATGCACCCAAAGAGTGATGTAGACAGACTATATATGAAAAGGAAGGAAGGAGGTCGTGGCCTTATCAGTGTGGAGCATTGTGTAAAAGGAGAAGAAAACAGCCTAGGTTTTTATGTGGCAAACTCAGAAGAGTTGTTGATAAGAGGTGTGTGTGCATCAGGAATCATACAGACAGAGGAAACAATGGAGAAGGAAGAATTCAAAAGGAGAAATGCAGAAGAGCTCAAGCAAAAATGGATAGGAAAGACGATGTATGGGCAATTTGTTAGAGAGATGCCAGAAAAGGTAGACAGGGTTAAATCTTGGGAATGGCTGTCAAGGAGTGATTTGAAGGTTGGAACGGAAGCTCTTCTATGTGCTGCACAAGAGCAAGCAATAAGGACCAACTACGTGAAGCACTATATAGATATGAGCAGCGACAGTCCACTGTGTAGAATGTGTGGTAAACGAGGTGAAAGCATACAACATATTGTTTCAGAGTGCGAGAAATTAGCCCAGAAAGAATACAAAAGGCGTCACGATAACGTGGCAAAGAAAATACACTGGGATTTGTGTAGGAAACACGGGCTTGAGCATTCCGATAAGTGGTATGAACACATTCCAGAAGGTGTTGTTGAGAATGAGGCTGTGAAAATTCTGTGGAATTTCAACGTACAATGTGATAACGTCATTCAGGCAAGAAGACCAGATGTTATAGTAATTCAAAAGGAAAAGAAAGAGGCTCTGATAGTTGACATTGCTGTACCTGCGGATACGAGGATTACAGAAAAAGAGTTAGAGAAGGTAATAAAGTACCAAGATCTGAAAATGGAAATAAAAAGGTTGTGGGAACTGCGATGTGCAAAAGTTATTCCAGTAGTGATTGGTGCCCTCGGAAGCGTTACAAAAGATCTTGAACGTTGGATTGAAAATATGGACATTGTGCCTGAGGTTGGAGTATTGCAGAAGACTGCGTTATTGGGGACGGCAAGAATACTGACAAAAGTGCTGGAACTTTAAAGGAGAAGGAAACCTGTTAGCCTTTAGTCATTTGTTGTGACTCGCCTAACAGGAAGAAAAACGGCAATAAGACCAGCCAGTGCAGAAATGCTTAAAATCCCATAATAATAATAATAATAATAATAATAATAATAATAATAATAATAATAATAATAATAAATAATAATAATAACAGTAGTAATAATAACAATAATACCAATAATAATAATAATGATCATGATGATGATGGTTACGATGATGATAATGAAAACAATAACAGCAACAATTATAATGATGATAATAAAACAAAAACAAAGCTAATTATAGTAACAACAACGACTCCTCTTGTCTCGAATATATCTCAAATTAAATTACATTCTCGAAAGTAATGCCAAGTAAATAGACATGCGAAAATATAAACAATAGAATATAAAATATAAACTGAATATTTCATCGTCATATTTTCTTTCGGATTTTCCAAGCAGAAAGTCGTAATTATCCTTAATTTGAGAGAAAAACACCTACATTTTCTTCTACAAAGAAAACGTAGAATGTTTTTTTTTTTTTTTTTTTTTTTTTTTTTTTTTTTTTTTTTTCAGACTATTTTCCTTTCGTGTCTTCAAGGAGGTGAATGGGATCTTTTTTTTTTGTTACTAGGCTCGTTTTTTTTTTAGTGTGCTTGCGTTTAGCTTTATCTTTTTCATTTCTTCCCTTATTCCTTTTCACCGTCTAACCCATTTTTATATACATTTCTAATTCTAATGTACATATGAAGTTAATCTGATTATGTCATACTTACAAATAAAATACACACGCAACACATACACGCATACAAATACACACGACCACAGTCACACAGCCAGGCATTCATTACCTAAAGTGTTTTAACATGACTGCAATGAAAGAACATCTCACTTCTAGCATACAAAATGAGAATTGAAAACTTTTAGTTAATTTAAATAGACCCGCCCGCTATCATTTACGCTTGTGGCAATTAGCATTTTATTTCTTGTTTTTTTCTCTCTTTTTTTTTTTTTTTTTGGGGGGGGGGGGGGTGATGAGTTAATTACAATGAAACTTAAACGAATGTTAATCAGGAAATGAGAATAGGTCCCAGTGTGTCTGTGTGCTTACCTCTGCCTTTGTCTGTCTGTCTATTTTTTATCTTTGTCAGTTTGTTTGTCGCTCTCTCTCTCTCTCTCTCTCTCTCTCTCTCTCTTTCTCTCTCTCTCTCTCTCTCTCTCTCTCTCTCTCTTTCTCTCTCTCTTTCTCTCTTTTTTTCTCCCTCTTTCTCTTTCTCTTTCTTTTTTATTCTCCTTATCCTTCTCTTTCTTTTTCTCTTTCTCTTTCTCTCTCTCTCTCTCTCTTTCTCTTTCTCTCTCTCTCTCTCTCTCTCTCTCTCTCTCTCTCTCTCTCTCTCTCTCTCTCTCTCTCTCTCTCTCTCTCTCTCTCTCTCTCTCTTTCTCTCTATTTCTAGCTTTTCTTCCCTCTCGAACAAAGGTTTCGTCACATTTTCCCCTCGTTTAATACCTAGCACCCTCTGCTTTTCCCATTCATTTACGGTTGTTAATTAAGAACAAGTACATTTCCCTAGAAGTATTCCCATGTATGGACTGAATGCAATTATTAATGTAATGATTAAAACTCAAGAGTGAATCCTCTACAGACATATAACTAATGGAATGCACACACATTCACTCTCTCACTCACTCTCTCTCTCTCTCACTCTCTCTCTCTCTCTCTCTCTCTCTCTCTCTCTCTCTCTCTCTCTCTCTCTCTCTCTCTCTCTCTCTCTCTCTCTCTCTCTCTCCCTGTCTCTCTCTCTCTCTCTCTCTCAGTAATAAGAAAGAAATTCGGAATATCGTATTGATTTTGACTTACAAATACGAACTGACAACTTTCTTTGAACCCGATAAACACACACAGTCTTGTCAAAGGAATAATCAGTGAGCAAACAAGGTACGTGTGCCATGCGTCCTTTTAGATAGCGCATTACACGTTTGGTAACAGAAGTGATGCCAAGATCGAAGGGCAAACATATGGAGGCAAAACATCAAGGAAGCAAGAGAAAGAAAAAGAGATAGAGAGAAGTGGATAGTGGTCTTATCTCCCCGGGAGGAGAGGGTAGTAGGCAGCGAGGGGAGGCTGACCGGCGGAGTTTATGATATCCCTTAGTATCAAATGCTCCACCACTATCACCACCACCTCCAACATCACCACCACCTCCACTAACATCACCACCACCTCCACCAAAATCACCACCTCCAACATCACCACCACCTCCACCAAAATCACCACCTCCAACATCACCACCACCTCCTCCAACATCACCATCGCCTCCACCAAAATCACCACCTACAAAATCACCACCGCCTCCACCAACATCACCACCCCCAACAGCAACACCACCTTCAAAATCACCTCCACAACATCACCACCACCGCAACATCACCATCACCTCCAACATCACCACCACCTTCAAAATCACCTCCACAACATCACCACCACCACAACATCACCATCACCTCCAACATCACCACCACCTTCAAAATCACCTCCACCAACATCACCACCACCACAACATCACCATCACCTCCAACATCACCACCACCTCCAACATCACCACCACCTCCAACATCACCACCACCTTCAAAATCACCTCCAC